GTATTTCACTTTGCCCTCCCCTTCTCCCTCCTTTTGGGTGGGCTTCAGCCAGTTAATTAAAAGAACTTAAGAGCAAAACTGAAGTTTCTCTGAGAAAGAAGAAATTCTATCTGTGGACTGCAGCAGCAGCTTCTGCCTGAGAGTTTCTAGCCTGTCCATCCTGGTGCCCAGTCCTGTGGTTTTGGGTTTGCCTGGCCAGGTCTCCCTCCCATTACACAGTCTCCCACTGGTTCTCTTTCTCTGGCGTAATCCTGATGGATGTATGCCCCCACCTTCCCCAGTTGATTTTATGAGGTTGGGGGTAATGTCTATCTACCTTCCCATGCCTGGCATGTGCATGTTGACATGTCATTTGAATCACATAATTGCCACACACTAGGAAAGACAACCACGTGTGCTCTTTAGAACCTCTTGTCCACTGGATGCAGTGGCACACACTTGTAATCCCAGCAGCTCGGGAGGCTGAGGCAGGAGGATTGCAAGTTCAAAGCCAGCCTCAACAACTTAGCGAAGCCCTGTCTCAAAATAATATATATATATATATATATATATATAGAGAATGATCTAGATATTGTGTGTCATTGTTCTTGCGAGCATGTGGCTCAGTGGTTTGGTGCCTATAGGTTCAATTCCTGATACAAAACAAAAAGTAGAACTTCTTCTCCCAACACACTGGCTTTCCTGGATGGAGGACAAATGAGAGACAACAGTTTACCCATAGACCTTGGTCCCAGCACTCCAACGGGCCTGAGCATGCTGTAAGGGAAGAGGGAAGACCTGGGGTCTCACATACCTCCCTGGGCACTTCTGGCAGCTTCCCTGGGATTGGCCTCAGGGATGGAAGGGGGGGATTGTGGTTCTTTCTGCCTCTCCAGTGGGGAGTCCTCAGGCATCTGCCTGTAGCTCCTCAGGAGTCATGGGCAGCTGAGTGCCTTCTGCCCCACAGTCCTCCAAGAGAAAACCATGCAGCCAAGAAACGGGTCCCTTAAGGATGGTAGATCAGGCTGTCAAAGGCAGGATGTAGACTCCAAGCTCTTGGAGGGCTTCATCCCAGTGTGGGACCCAGTCCAGCAGCATTCCCTGATGAGTGAAAGTCAGGACTCTGACCAGATGTCCAGAAGCTGAGCTGTTGGGATGGTGGATGCAGGATCCTGAATCAGTTTGTCTGAGTATGAAGTTTGAAAAGTAATGGCTGGAATGTCTCCTTGTAGAGAGGTGGGAGAATGGATGTCATTGTAAGAGAGAGGGCCAGGTGTAGGCCAAAGGGGAAGAAGGGTCCCAGGATACTGTAGGCCCCAGGATCCAAGGGACAGCACATTTCTGCTGAAGGATTGAATCTGCTGAATATTGAAAATTTTCATTGGTTTTATGGACAGGAAGAAGTTTGTGTTTTGACCAGGTTACCTAGGGGGAAGGAGATGACACTGGACGCACACTGTTCTGGGTTGGTGGTGGGTAGGAAGAAAAGGTAGGGCACTGCCACTCACTCCTTGGCAAGGGCTGCAGAGAGTTGGGGTTGGCACTTTATTGGTGCTCCTGGAAAAAATCCAGCAGAGGAAAGGTTGATGGTGCTGGCGACAGAAGCAGTGAAAACAGATGAGAGGGGAGGCACTGCTGGGAGGCCATGAGGCCAGGCTGGGATCGGGTGTTAAGAACAGTGTTCAGGGAATTATCTGTGCTGTGGCCCAAACTGGTTCAGCCATGAGGTTACCCAGGAGGTTTGCTTGGAAAGTTAAACCCTCTGCTAATGGAAGGAGGAATCACCTCAGTGGGACATGACCATCTTTTGTTTTGGTAGAGCTGAAACAGGGATAGCTCTGTCCCATGAGGCTCTCAGGAAGGCTGAGGAGGACATCTGGGAGGGCTGGGCAGGGGGTTTTACAGGGCATGGGATTCAGCTCCCTGATTAGCAGGTTCTGAGAAATAGTCACTGGGCATGTGGCCTAAACCCCTGAGAGGGGATCTGACAGCTGGGCCCTAAGGCTCCAGTGTATCTGGAACTATCATGGGCAGGGCACTTGAGGAAGATGGATAATACTGATAAGGAGTAGAGACTGGCTGAGGGGCACTTGTGGGATACCTATTTCCTAGATCTACAGGAATGCTTAGCAGGAAGCAGGAGGGGCCTGTCTGAATGGGGGCTAAAAACTGAGGCTTTTGGGTAATGGTTGTTTCCATGACCCCTTTGGTCCATAGACAAGTAAGACATCTACCCTGGCGATCTTGGCACTTAGTCACAGCCATCTAGTATTAGATGTGGGCATTTTCTGAGAGCAGCTTTTGGTTCTGTTGGACATGACAGGCCCACCTCAGAGCATGTACATTTAATCCTGATCGTTTCTTCAACTATGCTATTACAGCACACGTGAGTGTGTGTGTGTGTGTGTGTGTGTGTGTGTGTGTATGTGTGTGTGTGTGTGACCCAACTAGCTTCCTCCCCACCTTTTGACAGATGTGGCTCCATTTGTGAATGCTTGCCACCTACTGGCTTAGTTCTGGCCACCTGGTGGGAGAGGCAGAGGTCCAAGCCATCCTATTAGGGTCCCCTTCAGAAGATGCCCAAATCAGATGAATCTCTGTAGAAGACACTTTCTTGCTGTGATGTTGGTGGCCCACAGGTGAAGCACATGGGAGTCCCTGTTGTTTCTGCAGCAGTTTAAGGAAAACCCACCACCCTTAGCAAAGCCTCTGGATGCACATGTGGATGGGGAGAGGAGGGGAAGGTGGGGGGACTGGAGGGCTTCCTGGGATGCTGGGATTGACCAGCTGGTCAGGATTTAAGGGAACTGGGTTGGAACTTCAGGGACCAGAGCTCCTCTGAAGGTGGAACAAATCCAAGTAATGCCTCTCCTTCCACTGACTTCCTGGACCTGGAGGCAAGCCAACTTTTTTGACCTTCTACCTGCACCAATTAGCCTCCCTTTGCCCCACCGGCCCCAGCTCTCCTGGCTCCTCTCAGAATGAGCAGGGCTGCATTTAGCCCAGGCTTTGGACCACAGCCATGGGAGAGGGAGGCAAGAAGACCCTTCTTGCTACATGCTGCAGGGGTGCTCAACTGCCTGTGTCACCAGGGTCTTGTGGCTTTCTTTTCAAAGTATGGGTATATTTCCCTATGTAGCTGACATGTCACCCAACTCGAAGTCACCTCCCTGCCTAGCCACTGTTTGAAAAATAATTTTATTAGAGCTTTATAGTTACACATAGTAGTGGGATTCATCCAAATTCATTTGTGCAAGGTATTCAATGTCAGTTCTTCATTACCCCTTTTTCCCATCCATCTTCCCTCCCCTCTCCTATTCTCCTTCCTCTACTCAGCTTACTTTAGCTCACTTTTTACTTTATATTTGATTGATTCATTCTATGTATGCATAAAGGTAAGGTTCCCTGTTGTATATTTATATATGAACATAACATGACTTCCCAAGAATTCATTCTGCATTGCCTCCCCTTACCTGTCTCTCCACTCCACTTCTCTATCTCCTTCTTCCACATACTGATCTTCTTTTTATCTTTATGTTGTCCCATGCTTCCCTCCCCTTTCATTTATTTCACTCTAGCTTCCCCATATGAGAGAACACATTGACCTTTGAGTTTCTGAGTCTGCCAGTCACTCTCTATGGGTGCCCCTTCCATGAGTGGAGCTGAAGGAGCCCTAAACTTAGGCCTGCACTGCTCTTCTTTGCTTCACACCTGCTTTATCTCCTCAGGTTCCAGGGGTCATACCCAGATAGCAAGTTGACATAGTCATGTGCTCAATTCTGTCAGGATCCACTCTCGGTCCATTTTCAAGGGTGGAAGTGTTTGAGCAAAGAAGGGCAAGTGTGATCTTCAGCAAGGGCAGGAGGATGGAGGTGCAAAGTCTGGATTCTCAGAGGGAGTCTCCCACCCATCCTCTGTCCCCACTGTGGAATTACCTGAGTAGCCACGCAACCCTGTTCCTCTCCTGTAAAATGAGGAGTTGGGATTGAAAATGCTATGCTTCTATGTTACACTAGTCAATCACTGTAATGTGTTCTACCCAGCCAGTTACCCCTGTGTCCTCACCACAGCAGCTTTCTGATGCACAAGACATCAAACCACCTCTGAGAACCAGAGACACTAGCAGGCTCAGCTGACTTGGGTTTGTAGGCACTGAATGCTCCCTGGAAAATGAAAACATAGAGGCACTTTTCTCCTGGCTGTTTATTACAGAACAGAAAAAACACACTGGCTCAAAATAGATGCCAGATTTTGATGTAGAGGCAAAATACGAGGTGGCAATTAAAATGTGATTACACAAAATCTGGACACTGAAAAAAGTTTACAGGACAGTGCGTGTGGATTTTTTTTATAACAGACACTTAAATATACATGACAATAATTGCAGATAGAAACCATCAAAGACAAACTCCAAATCAACTATTAATGTTATAGACTCTTCACCCCAAACCACAGAGCCTTACACCAAGACGAATGCGGAAAGACTTGAAAGCAGGCTTGAAAGCAGGACGGGCTCACCTTCCCCCTGTGAGGGTGCACTGAAGCGGCAGGAAGTGGGGGTTTTCTCTGAGGTCTGAATGACAGAAAGAGGGGAATGTTCTAGTGCCTCGAGGTGGACAGCTCACACAGAGCTCAGCTCTTTGCACCTCTCCCAAATCTAAAGGACATCTAGCTTACCTGCAATTTCTCAGGGGGCACTTAACAATAAAATAGCTTCTGCTGTAGATGCTCATTAGGGAGGAGCTAGCAGGGATGAAGAAGTCTGCAATGAGATTAACAGTCACACCTGGCAGGTGACAGAATTTTTAGTGAAAATGGAAATCAATGACCAAGTGGTTTTTCTATTCAGCATTTGTCAGTTTGTACAACACCCATTGATCACATCCACATCTCTCATTGCATCAAAACCACAGCAACTCAGTCACCTGGCTTAACAAGGTGTCACTGCAGTGGACAACACAGTCTGCATATTTGTATAAAATGTATAATAAACACAAAACAAGGCATAATAAACACAAATCTATTGAAACAAAAGCCGTCACTTTATTTACAAAGTCACAAAACCAAGTATAAATACTTCTGTCATTCGTGTTTAGGAAAACCATTTACAAAATTTTTAAATATATACAAGTAGCTTGAAAAATCGCCAGCTTTCCATTGTTTCTGGTAGAGAGTAGGACAGGCTGGGCTGACACCACTAATGAGGAGCCAAGTGTGACTGTCTGGGGCCAGTTGTGAACTTGATGTGGATTCTGATGACTCCTTTGAGTGACATCAACATGGGGGTTTCTGTGGGCATCCTGCTCTGATCTAAAACTCCTCAGTACCCTTGGTGAGCTGGTCAGCATTCTGGGCTATGGCATTTTGGACTGCAGCTTGCTGTTCCAAAATGTCATCGATCAGCCTCAAATTGCACACCCAGTCTTCATCTGGGCCCTCGCTAGAGCCTTTCAAGAGAGCTTCAATGAAATCCACCTCACTATCATCAGGGGGTGAAATCAGACCATTTAGTGGAGACTGGGGATGAGATTGGAGCAAAAGGTTGTCAGGTGGCAGCTCAGGGAGGCTACCTGTTCTGTTAAATGGACCCAAGGACTGGCTAGCAGCGATGGCAGATGTAGCAGCGGCAGCAGCGGCAGCAGCCACATAGCTTGGTGGCTCAATGCCCTGAACGGGACTCATGGGAGCCATGGTGGCCATGCCCTGCTGGAGGGACTTGGTGGTGTTCAGCACAGGCACAGGGACCTGTATTGGGCTCTGCTGGAAGCTCTGGTTCCCCAGCAGCCTGAAGCTGGGGTTGGCCAGGGCATCACTAACCTTCTGGTCAGGTGTGCCTCCCGGGGCAGCCTGATTAGGGGGCACAAACGGCTGCTGAGATGGAAATGCCGAGGCTACCGGAGGCACTCCCATGGGCACCTTGGCAAAGACTGAGTTGCTATCAAAATGGTGCTTCATGCTGTCATCTCCCTGGCTTGGAGGAGGTTCCCTCGAAACTGCTGTGGTCATAGCTGCTGCCGCCACCATCCAGGCAGCATTGTTGAATACAGTGGGCATTCTTGTCATACTGGGCTGTCTGAGCTGGTGGGGACTTAGGTGCTGACTGTCCAGGGGGTGGGAGCAGAACCTGGGCAGGGGCACTCCTATAGGGGTGATTTTGGGATTCTGTGGATGCTGGCAGACAGAGCCAAGATTGCCCTGGGGGTTCTGGTTCAAGTGTGAGGATGTGGGACACTGGGGGCTGGAGTTGAATATTCTTTGCTGCTTCTTCAGAGTTGGTGAGATCGTGTTCATGCCCTCATGGCTCTGGTGTCTGGTGGGTTGGATTATTCCTGGATTCTCATTGTTCTGAAGGAGCCCAGGTGTGGATGACATCATATGCTGGCTGGACAGGGGGCTTGCCTTGGTGTGGCTACACTTGGAGGTGACTTGTTCTTGGACGGCTACAGAAAGAGAGACATGGGGATCAGTTCCATAGGCATCCTCAGCAAGGACTGTGGCCACTGGACAGGCCATGGGTCCAGCATCCATCACTTCTCACCTCATGTCCCTGACTAAGCAACCCTGCTCCCACTGACTCTTTTCAATTCCCCTCATTTCTCTGCCCTCAGCCTGGACACAGTTATTCTGTGAAGCCCTCCCATAACTCCTATGTCTGTACACAAAACACCCCTCACCCAAAGCAGATCATGCTGGATTGAAATGCCAGCTGCCCACCTTTTCAAGTAGACAGGAATCTCTGTGAGACCAGGGGCTGTGTCTGCTCTTACCCTCAGTGCTCTGTATTTAGGGGCTTGTCCTGAATATTTTGTAGAAGAAAGGAAGGGTTGGGGTGGAGTGTGGTGGGTTGTGGAAGATGGCTCAGCCCTCAAACTAGGGAGGATGTAGCTTGCCTCAGCTCTCCACCCAACAAACATGGTAAGAAGGAGTGCTCCCCATAGCCTCTGAGCCCCACGTTTGAGGATCATGTGTTTGCTGACTTGATCTGCAATAAGTTTTCTTTCTAAAGGTCGAAATCTAGGAGGCCACCTTCTGAGCTTCCTGACTTTTGGAGAGAGACAGGGTGGAAAGAGACAGAGCAGAAGACAGAAGGTAGAATCCCAGGTACCTAAGTTTCAGAATGCATCCTGAGTGTGCTGTGGCTGACATCTACCGGCACTCTTGTTCAGTGGAAGCTGTGGAAACTGAGGCACGTGTCAGTCACATGGTTTGCCCGAGGTTAAGCAAGAAACAGTGCAGTTAGAATGCCAGCCTTGGACACTACTCATCTTACACTCCATGATCATAATTACTAATTCTATTTTTCTCTTGTAACTATGCCTAGGTTCTTTTATTACTGTGGCACCTCCAAGTTTTTCAACTAGTTTACACTCTAGCCTCAGCCTTCCTGAAACTGACCTGCTCTGTCCCTGTAGCTGAAGCCTGCCCGACATGCCACTCCAGCCTGGGCAGATAGACACAAAGTTGGCTGGTATCAGGCTCAAAGGCACAGGGTTTTTTGCATGAGGCTGGAGAATCAATGGTGTAGAGGTGGCATTGGGTAAAATGAAGATACTGCCACTTGTCGGAGAGTGTTCCCATGAGTATGCTTGGCCTGCTCCAATCTCACCTTACTGGTTTGTAAGGACTGCTTAACTCAGTTCTGCCTGGAAGCCTGTAAATTCCACAAAGGTGGGACCATGTCTAGCTTTTTGCTAACTGGTATATCCTAAGCCAATAAATGTGGAGTACATTCACGGTTGCCATGTGGGTGGTGGGGTGGGGGGAGCTCCTGCTATCTGTAGAGGCTCTGGGAGCCAGTAGCCCTGGAACTCATTAGAAATGGAAGGTCAGCCCAGCTCTGTGTGAATGTGCATGGGGGTGTGAATGGGCAGGGTCAGAATTCATGTTCTACTTAACTGACTTACAGACCACTCAAGTGCTTTTCAGAAACACAGATGGTAACTGCTTACTCAGAAGTGAAATCCTGCCCCACCCCTACATATGCATCCCCTGGCAGGTCCCTTTGGGAAAACTGACCTTAACTACTTACCTTGAAAATGGCTCATCTGCTGGCCCATGTACATGCTCCTCTGTTTAGGGGTTATTGCCATAAGACCTGATCTCTGTTTCTCTTGCTAAACAGAAGATGAAAAAGACACATTAGATTATAGCTGCTGAGAAACGTTAGTCTTGGGATCACTGCTTGGGGACCTAGGACTCGGCTTTGGTGCAGCAAAAGCATGAGTGAACACACCAACACATACTTGCATGCATGTCCCACCCTCCACAGCAAAGTTCCACAGGTATAAAGAAAAGTAGGATTCTGCGCCTGGGTTAAAAAACCAACTGCAACAGCATAGGATGGGGCAAGAGGCAGAAATCAGCAGCAGTGCACAGAGAAAAAGACTGAGGCAGTTTGAATGTCTATCTGTTCAGAATGGGTCAGCAGTGCGGTGTGGTCACCAAAAGAACAAATGTAACATTAGGCTGCATTAATAGAAGCAGAGAATGTAGAAGGACGGAGGTGACAGTCCTATGCTACTTTGTGTTGGCCACACATGCCCAGTGTGGATAGGAATCTGGCCATGCCATTTTCAAGGACACCCAGACAAATTGGCTGCATTCAAAGGACACAGTGGCTTGGGCAGAGCAGATTCTGGCCTATTTGGTGGTGGGTGTCCACTCTCTGCAAGGCTGTCATGGGGAAAGGACCAAGGTTTATCTGGGTGGTCCCGGCATGAAGGCTGAATGATCAAATGGTCACATGGACACACTGAGTCCAAGAGTTGGCAGACACTGCCAATTTCTCTTCCTTTTCCTGATTGGCTGCAGCACGGACAATTGGGAGGAGCTTCCTGTCTCCTTCTCAAAGTTGGCTGAGTGGGTGAGGGAGGAGCCAGGCTTTTGGGCTGCAGTGAGCCCCTTACGTTCCATCAAGTAACACATTGTACCAGGGTTGGGGCAGGGGCAGATGAAAGTTAGAGGATGTGACCCAAGAAAAGGCAGGGGAGGGCAGAAAAGTGCAAAGGGAAGGATGTACAGAGAAAGTCCACCCAGGAGCATGAAAAAGAACAAATCAGTGTGGGATAGGCTCATAGACAAAGGAGAAAAACATGGCAGGGAGAGGATCAGAAGAAGGCCCAAGGCAGAAAAAGGCACAAATCACTAAGACCCTCAGCCAGCCAGGGCAAGGTGGTGACTGGGACCCACATCTGACTTCAGTCCACTGCTCAACCTGTGCTCACCTGCTGCCGTCTCTCTCCCTTTCTCCAGAAGCCTGCCTGTGAGTGCACTAACCAACATTTTCTCTCACCTGTGCCCCCCATGTGACAGAGGTCTCAACTGTGCAATATGAGCTGCCTAGGCACTGCCTGCTTTCCTAGTAATGGGCTTCCCCAGGCAGCCCCTCTGTGCATTCAGTGGGGCTGGTGTGGGTGTAGGCAGGGCAGAGGGATGGCACTTTGGAATGTGCCCAGCTCTCAGGCCTGGCAGCAGTACCTGGCCTCAGCTCCTGGCAAGGCAGAGAGGACAAACACATGGCACTGGGAAGACTACACCAGGAGTGATTTCCCCAGCCTGGGCTTTGCTTTTCCATCCCACCCTTAGCCTGCTTCCTGTGCTGGCTCTTGTCTCCTCCCACAGCAGAGGCTGCTGGGATGTGGGTGGAGAGGGCTGTTTCTCGGCTGACCCATGGATCTGCCCTCTTCCTGCTAAAGCACTGGTTGGGCGGGGTGGGGTAGGTTAGCTTTTATGAGTGATCACTGTCTAGGGCACTTCGCACCCATTATTTCCTGTCATCTCAGAAAAAAATGCTCAGTGGGGACAGAAGGCATGACTGCCCCAGGCGATAGCCTCTAGATGTGCCTGAGATGCTCAGGGTGGGTGGGCATTTCTGAAGGCAGCCCTTTCACTTATGTTCTTCTAATTGATTCTTAGATCAGCCTGAGGACATTGGAATACATCCAGAGTCCCCAGCTTACTGATGTGACATGGGAGGCTCACAGAAGTTAAATGACTATCCAAAGCAACATGGAAAGGAAGTGCAATGCTTCCTAACTGCAGACTCAAAGTCTATACCCACTGGCTGCCCCATCACTTTTATCTAGTATCACAATAGTACAGGGACCGGTGCAGACGGAGGTTAGAGAATGTGACCCAAGCAAAAGCAGGGGAGGGCAGAAAAGTGCAAAGGGAAGGATGTACAGAGAAAGACCACCCAGGAGCTCAGCAAACAAGGAAAGCCTGAGCTGGGCAGGATTCAGAGAGTGGAGGCCCCTGCTCCCCTTGTACCATCTTTTGGATAAGAGAGTGCTTCACACTAAGTTTAGGGTTATAGGGACAAAGGGGATACTAGAGCATCCAGAGTTTAAGGGGAAAATCTGGTCAGCTGCATAACTATACATACTGCCAAGGTCAAACAGTGCCCTTGCCCAGCCAGTAGTGCTGGCAGCTGCTCTGTAGAAGCCCTGTGTCTGTGGGGACCCCCAGAAAGCTGGGGTATTCCACCAGCTCTTCACCCTGCTAGGGTGTCCAGAGACACTGCCAGTCCTCTCCTCCCTGACAGAGGGGGCCTGGGCACTCTCTCCAGCCTTTCCAAGGAGGCTGCTTCCTTTGTTTTGCAGAGGGAGGCTCTGATCCTTTGTTCTGAATCAATGTGCTCCAAAGATAAGCCACAAGAAAACAGTTGTTGCCTTTTGACACTGACAATTAGAATCGTTGGAAAATGGAGAAAACAGGAAATGACAAATGGTTTCAGTGACCAGGAGGAAATGGTGGCTGAAAATTGCTGCTTAGTGACAGACACTCACTTTCTGCCCTCTTGTAAAGGATGGCCCAGGTCGTGTGGCTTTTTATAAGCAAAGTTATGGAGACAGTCATCAAAGGACTAAATTTTCTAAGGCTGTGATTGTCATATACACTTTATCCTATTGTTCCCGGGACACTGATAAGTGAGCCCTGTGTGCCTCTCCCACAGTGGCCATCCTGATGGGCTAGGGCCAGCAGGAAGTCTCAGAGAACTAAGGCCTCCCCCTTCCTCTGTCTCACCTATTCTCAGCCCCACTCAGCCAATTCACAGACAAGTCCTGGGCTGCCTTTCAGGAAGCTTCGTGTTGATGCTCAGGAAGCTGTACAGCCCCACCAGTCTCTAGGGGCTCATAGAAGGGCTAATGCCTTAACTTGTGTGCCAAGCAGGAGCGAAAGGCAAAAGGCCAGGCCTAACCAAAGGCTGCCACTGCCTCCTGGCACCACTGAGCTCAGTACGGTGCCTGCCAATAGACTAGGCTGGGCACTGTACCAGCTTCACCCTGCAGCCACCACATGCTCATGTTTCTGTGCACCCCAGTACAATCACCTGGATGCTTCCTTCTCATCAGGGCAGAGGGAAAGTGATCTTAATAACAATTCAACCACCTAATCGGAAAAAGAGACTCTCCAATTGGGGGGAGTCAGAGGGCAGTAGAATCATATACAAAGACAGGTGCCCACAAAGGATTCCTGAGTTTCAGCCTGATTCAGATTGAAGTCACTCACTCCACGATCCCCTAGAGGAAAGCATTCTGATTCAGAGAAATACAGCATATCGATTGAGAGAGGGAGGGAAGAGGGAGAGTGAGATGGAAAAAAAGTGGGAGAACAGGAGGGAGGGAGGGAGGGAGGGAGGGAGAGAGAGAGAGAGAGAGAGAGAGAGAGAGAGAGAAAAGAGGGAGGAGAAAAAAGGGGAGGGGGAACAGAGGAGAAAGATTCTTTTTCCCTCATAAGGGAATCCCCACCTGGTTTCCCCAGTGAACACTGCTTGTGCCAGCAAAGGCACTGAGCTATGTGTCCCATAGGGTAATGAGCTCTAGCGTGGGTTTGTTTATTACTCCACAAGGAAGAGCACCTTCTTTTGTAGATTATGGAAGCAAGAATTGGCAACAACTCACTGGCCCTTGGGACTTTTCCTTTGACATGACAGGAGGATGGCATACTGCATGGGAATTCCCACATCACTGAGATCTGATTTCTGAGGGGTCCCATGCTCCCCCATGGATGGGCACTCCTGAGACCCATGGGCTCTGGCCAGCCAGGACCCATAGAGAGACACAATTTAGTTACAGCTGCCAGAAGCCCAGTTTGGGGTGCTCTTATGCAAAAATTTCTTCTTGAGCATCTTTCAGAAACTGTGGGGGTTTCCTACAATGAATGGTAGGCAAGTATTCATTGTTTACTAGGTTCCTCAACTCTCAGAGCCTGTGACTCAATTTCTCCAGAAGATAGGGAGCGATGAGTACCCATCAGGTCACATCTCCCTGTGTATCACTGGGGCCATGACTTGGGGTGGAACCTGCTTAACACCTGCGCTTGTGTATGGCCTTGGCTTCATGGCTTCCCCTGCCCAGAGTGTCATGAGAGGGACAGAGGCCTCAATGACTCTAGGGTCCCTAAACTTAACTGTGCAAGGACGTGATGGGCTTACAGGGCAGCCCAGTCAGCCCCTCTGCCAGTCATTTGATGAACATGGGTCTGCTATGGACCAGGTTCTGTTTCCAGCTTGGAGTTGGCACTGTGTACCTCCACTCTTATGGAGCTTACAGGAGACAGGGAGGCTGACAAGACCCAAGTAAATCAGTCAAAGAGGATAATGTTCTACAGACAATATGCCAGGGTGAAGGGATGGTGGTGGAAGGTACTGGCAGAATCCCTGGGTGAGGCATGGGACCCTGAGGGGGAACTGGATCCTGACACACAGTTCCATATGCTTGGCAAAACCTATAGCAGCATTGGCCTTCTGGGGTCTTTTTTTGTCCCTTTGGACAGTGGTGCAGGAGGTGGAGCTCTCTCCCACAGAAAGAGCCCTTGGGTCCCAACCAGTGGAAGCTATCATCAGGGGCTTCACAAAATAAATACTATCAAAAGCAAATGGCTGAACTCCATGTAGGTCCTTTTTTGCTACTTGACCTATGACTGTGTAAATCATTCTGAGTCCTCCTCCATCTTGGTGGTTCCAGGGCCACCTGGAACCTGTCAAATGCTGGGATGATCCTTGGGCAGAGGAAACAAAATCTTTGTTATTTCTGTCCCAAACTCACAGGCTATTGTGACAAGTGCCGAGGACCCCCCTCAGTGTGGCCAACTTCTAAAGTTCCTAGAGAAAATGTTGGGGCCACACATGTGCTCTGCCCTCTGCTACTCGGGCAGACAGATAATGAGGTGAGGTAAAGGAACTCTCCAGGCATGCTAGCTGGGATCCTCTCATTTGTGGCTTCTGAGGCCAGGGCAAGGCAGGACAGAGCAGGATAGAAATGGCGACATTCCGAGTGGACGACATCTATATCCTTTTTCTCTAATTTTGTTTCCCTGGCAGCTTTGGGCTGGACAATATTCTTCTGGTTTCATCTGAAGAGCGAACAGCTGAGGAGTACTGTGACTCTGAGGGAGAAAGAAATCAATAGCCCTTGAACGGAAAGCACTGCTTGTTCTTCCAGGCCAGGGCAGGCAGGATAAAGAGAACAAGGCTGGATGTACCAAAGCCGCATTTCCATTAAAGGCCAGAATCCCAGGAGGCCCTTTCAGCTTGATGGCCATCTTCTGATTACTATCACTTAGAAAATGCTCGTATCTCCAGCTCTCTCTCTGCAGATAGGGCAGACATCCTGTGCACATTGATATTTCATGCACCAGAATAACAACTCCAAGATCCAAATGAAATTCTCTGCAAAAGCTGGTATGCATCATCTTGCTGTCATGACTGTTAATGTGACTCTTTGGGGCATGTAAGCCAGCCATTCTTTCTAGACTCTAGAGGTTGATTCAAACTCTCAGCCATCTTGGGATAGGCTTGGCTTGGATGCCTTCTCCCTTCCCTCCTGGACTGCCAGGCCTTCAGTGGGGTCAGAGAATACCATGCGGTGCAGAACCCACAGCAGATTGCTGGCAGGAGAGGCGGTTCCTGAGCCCCCACTTGGTATCAAACAGGCAGTCATCTGGTAGGGGGATTTGGAAGCACAGAAGTACAACCCCTACTCCCCTTGGGCTCCCAGTCTGGCAGCAGGGACAGGCAGGCAGGAAAGGAAATGGAATGCCAGAAGGTGTCCAGAAGAGGGAGAGAGAAACTGCACCCTGAGCAATCCCCCACTTGTTTCCCTGCAGGTGAGGCCAAGATACCTGGAGAATTCTGCTTGCTTGGGCTAGAGAAAAAGGAAGGCCAGAAAGCACTACAAATCCCTCAGAGGCATACAGAACTTTATGGGTTGCCTTCAGAGCTGTCACCTCCTGTGTTCCTCCCAAATAACCCCGTGAGGCAGGCGGGCAGGCTGAGCGGGTGGCTGTGCCCCAGTTGACAGATGAGGAAAGCGAGGCTTGAGGAGAAGTGACTTACCTGCGGCATCGCAGCTAGGCAGTAGTGGAGCAGGCACCTGCCTCCAGTCCTTCGGATCCCAGCCGCCCCAGGGCGCTGCCTCTGAGGTGCTGTACGAGGAGGTGACTCTGGCCAGCTCATGAGCAAAGGAGCTGCCGGGCAGGAAGGACTCACTCCCCAGGGCCTGGCAGGATGGGGGCTGACGCCCGAGGCTGACCTGAGGGGGCCTGGCTTCCCCAAGCTTGCAGGCTTTGTCTACATGGGTCTACAACAACCGATTGAACAATCCATCAGCTGCTTGACTAGGAAAAGTTTCCGACTGATTTTGTCACTGTTCTGACCTCCTACTTGGGTGGTTTGGGTGTTGTGGTTATATACACCAACTGGTTTGGGGAAGCAAAACCAAATAGCTTTGTGGTCTTAGCTTGTCTTGGGTCACAGACTCCTTTGAGAATCAGTTAAAGGCTATAGTCTCTCGCCACAGAAAATGCCCCCGTAGTGTCTCCCCCTTCCTTCCCAGAGCATCCATGTTTTACATATAATTTTAGGGGTCTTCTTGACCACTTAATACCCATCCATGGATTTTGAGCAATTACTAGCTTGTGGAAAGCTGGAATAAAGCTACATCAGATACCTGGTTCATGGATCAAACCCCTCCCCACCCTGCCCCACCCCCACCCTCACAACAGAGCACACAACTCCAACTGGTTTGTAGTTCTGTGTGGGTAGACATGCTGCGGGGTCTGAAAAACCAAATGGTGAGTGCAAAACCAGTCAAGTGTACACCTCCCAACAGTCAAAACCCAAACTTGTCCGTGCCAGGGCCTCAAGGTTTCAGGATTGGATGGACAGGAACTCCCTTTCCATTAAGCTTTAGAAGGGAGGCATGACACCAGCATTGAATGTATGACTCAATTCATTCAGCAGAAGCAATTAAAATAACCTTCTATTTGATATCTATGTCAGCAAAAGCTTCAAAACTTAGATGAGTGGACGAGCCAGACTTTTACACCCTGACGAGCATGCCAAGTGTTTAGTAGCAGTGGTGTCCAAGAGGACTGGGCCAAAGACTGCATGATGACAACTCGTTGTTTTTCCCTGAAGCAGCATCTTCATTCTCCTACGTTTAATACTGAGCTGCAAGTGATCAAAAACTGGGTCCAAGAAACAGTCCAGTGAAAAGAAAAACACCTCTCACATCTAAGCTAAACACTTATGAAGCACCTACTATGAGCAAGTCTTTCCAATGGATGATAGTCCAGTAGATTTTTCGATATATTATTTGAAAAAAAGCAATAAAAATTGCCACTGCCATGAAATTTACTGAGCATTTTCTACACTCTAGGCATTAACCCAAGTGCTTGCAATATTTGGTCTTATTCAATTCTTATAAACAGTTGTCTCTGAAGTAGGGACTAATTACAGTCCTTACTATATGGATGAAGGCACTGAGGCCCAGAGATGTTAACTATGTTGCCCAAAGTTACCACAGCTAGCTAGAAGTAGAGCAGGATGCAGACCTAGGTATGCCTCAGTCCAAAACCCACACATACACGTTCAGGTACGAACATGGTATATAGAAAGCAAGTTTTGAAATGGAGAAATTGTCTTAATGTTCTATTAAGAAAAACACAGGCAGAGTATTACAAGGGAGGCTCCAGACAAATACTTAAGAGCAAGTTATAAATATTTAAAAATAGGCATTAGAAGACAACCTAACTACCTGAAGAGTTTTAGAGATAACACATTCTCATCCAAAAACAAATGAATAACCAAAAAACAAAAACAAAACTCCCCCCAAAGCCAAAAATAAAGCTAAAAAGAACACGAATTAGGCTTAGCAAGTGAACTTAATGTACCTGTGAAAAAGAGTTCTTTGCCATTCTGTTGGTGTTAATACCAACCATAGAGAACTCAGGTCCTCTTCCATTGGGGTGATTCATTAGCACAGAGCTGGGCTCACTGGCCATGTGCAGCTTTATTTCATCAAGCTCCAATTTGTCCTTGGAGCAAGGTCATCTGGGTGGAGTAAGTGCAGAAACGTGGCTTTCTACAACTCACAATCCTTTACTCCTGCACTTCTAGTTCCTTGATGATTCGGAACAATATTTTACAGCCGTATTGGTTTTTAAGACCCCAATATACAAATATTCTTAGGTTCTGATGACTTGCCTGCTCCATGATGACACATTCTAAAAGCAATTGATGGGGCTTATTTGGACAGATTGAAAGCTTTTTAAGCTTTTGCTCAGGAATCTCTGGTAGCTTCATGTACTTGCAAGATATTAGTGATGGGTCAAGAAACAGGATCCCCTATCAGCATTAGCATAGCTTGCAATGCCTCAGTAGTCCATCACGCAGAAAAAAATGCAGATGGCACATGGATGTGTTCATCAGCAGAAGTCCCAACAGTGTGGGAACAATCAAGAGTGGGCCTGGAGCCACTCACTCAAGTGGAGCAGGATGGGATCAGGCACTACCGATGCAATCCCCAGTTTTAGAAAAATGGAATAAAGAAAATACGAAGCCTTATGAGTGTCTGTCCCAAAGACAGAGATGGATTTACCAAAGTTAATTATGTTTAGAAACCTTTAGAAGTTACAATGTTCCTAACAACCTTTTATACACTTATAGGATATGTGATAAGTAGTTTCCTTTCCTAATTAAATAAAAGGCAGAAAACATGCCCATCAGCCAGCCATAAAGCTCTCACTTGGTCAGAGTCAAGATCAAATGACATTTCTTTTCTGATGGCAACTAGCTCAAAGTCACATGATAGGTAAGTGAAGCTGAACCTGGGTCTGACTTTCAAAAAAGCCAGGCTTTTAGTCACAAACACTAAAGGTAGTTGAAGATGAAGCAGTGTTCAAAGAAAAACCCTTAGGCTTATGCATACTCCTTACTCCAATTTTCCCAGCCTCAAGTTCCCCAAGTGCCACCTTGCTGGGTACAGTAAGTACTGCTGATAGGCCCTAGGGTTCCTGAGAAGCCATACAACTAACTGACACATTCTAGCAACCAAGGAAGGGAGTGGCAGGATTTCCTTTGGAGACTTCCGGATTTAGACAGCAGATTTAATGCATGCATTTTAATTCATTCCTTCTCAAAGTCCCATTAGAACTACAGCAAAGGTTTATATTTTGCTTTGTTTTTAAAGGAAAAAATCCCACCAGATAGGGAGTGTAGAAGAGGAGATAGCACCATAATTTAAGAAGAAGCTATATAGTACATACACTTAGCTAGGCATGGTGGCATGTACCTGTAGTTCCAGCTACTAGGGAGACTGAGACAGAGGAACTGCTAAAGCTCAGGAGTTGGAGGCCATCCTGGGAAACACAGTGAGGCCCCATCCCCAAAGAAAAATGTCAACAGAGCAGGCTTCACTGACGACATAGCCCCATGGAAGCTAAATCACCAGTGGGCAGAACAGAAAGCTGAAAAGAAACTTGATCTCTATGGCAGAATCTTCATCAAGCTCAGAAATAGAAGCCTCAGATTGTCTCTGGAAATGGAAGGTGAAGTGGAAAGGTGCTGAGAGCCATACCCGAGTCCAAATGATGCATGGCATTTTTGCCAGAACAGAGTGGTTGAGAGGTGACCAGCAAGCCATTGAGATGATAATGGTTATGTTAAGCTGTGTATATTAGACCCCTGCTGTCGGCCTCCTCCTGCTACTTTGGAGTTCTTGTGCTACTTTGGAGTTCTCGTGGGGATTCCTGGAGAGTTCCCATTGGTTGGTGAAATGCCGCAGTCTGGCTGGGCACAAATCACAAGCCACTCAAGCAGGAACAAACTTTATTTCTGAACTCCACCAGCACACTCCACACACGCTCCCCGGGAACTCTCCCGAACACCTCGAGGCTCCTCCAGGAACCACCAACCGGAATTCCCTCCTCCGGCACTTCCCCAACCAATGGGAACTCTCCAGGAATCCCCGCGAAAACTCCAAAGTAGCAGGAGGAGGCCGACAGCAGGGGTCTAATATACACAGCTTAACATAACCATTATCATCTCAATGGCTTGCTGGTCACCTCTCACCAACTCCGTTCTGGCAAAAATGCCATGCAACATTCGGACTCAGGTATGGCTCTCAGCAGAAAGGGGTGGTGGCCAATGTAATAGGGGTTGGTAAAAGCTGTTTAGGAAGCAGGTAGATCTCTGAATCCCCTCCTGACTCCGTCCTTGGGCAATCACCTCTCCCTAACTCTGGTGGAGATGAGAGATCTGATTTGACTTTTGCTGGTGAATTTCCACTCTGCTTTACAGGTGCTGCTGCCTGGATAACCTGAGAACTGTCACTTCCCCCCATGGAGATGTTTTGCACTGGCCTACACCTGATAGCTGAAGGAATTGAAGGCAGCCTATGATGAGCATGAAAGCAAAACCCAGCAGTGGCCCAATCCCTCTAACTGTATTTATTTTTTATGTATATAGCACCATGTCTAGAACTCTGCCAGGCATCCTGATGGTGGTGGACTTTGTACATTCCCAGGTTCATGGTGCCTTTAGCCACTTACTTCTCTAAGAGATAGTCTGGGGGTAGATAGTCAGAGGCAGCTTAGCTTTCCTTCTTCTAGAAGCCTTGTACCCTAGGTTGTGTTTGTCACTCAGTTTTCCAAAACAAAGCTATTGCATGTTTAAGAGTCCACTTATAAGTGATGAAGCTACATAGAAAATAAAGAGAATGATGATAGAATGAGGATAGTGGCTAACTCCATGACAGGAGGCTGTGGCAGAAGGGGTGTACAAAGTTCTACTTGGTGGTTGTCAACATTCTATTTCTGTACCTGATCAGTGCTAACATGAAGACTTTTCACTCTGTCACAATGTACACATCAACCTTCCAGACTTTTCTGTATCTGTTATATTTCCCAGTAATGGGGAAAGGCTGTATACACAGGTTAATACCAACAATGTTATATACATTTCTGTATAGAAAAAGTTAGTGAAATACTATATTCCAACATGTTCACAATAGCTGTCCCTAGGTTATTTATATATTCATATGTTTGTATTTATATATTTTATATGAAGTTTGTTTTCTGCATTTTTTTCAAGTTGAATACAAAAAGCATATATTACTCTAGTAATCACAACATGAAGTTTGTTTTCTGCATTTTTTTCAAGTTGAGTACAAAAAGCATATATTACTCTAGTAATCAGAAAGTCATAAAATGTATTCTGAAAAGATAAGGTCCTTATGTAAAACTGAAACTAATAACGATCAACAAAATTGTGGAGACAAGTCATCTGTGGAAGTCTATG